CCGGCAGCCCTATTCGCTGGGCGCTCGGGTAGGGTAGCCTTAGGATAAGGGGTCGTGTATAATGTAAGCCGATTGATTGATTATCAGCTGTCAGATCGACCGGGGGCATTCTCAGATGAGTTTTCCAATCGACGAAAGTGGCCGTAATTGTGGTCAAATACATCGTCTTTCCGATCAACAAAAGATTGCCAAGCATTGGGTAATGAATGACCTCCATTCATTTCATTGGTCATCGTTTACCCAATCGCACTTCTGACTGACGTTCGTGATTGTTTGTGGTCAAGTACATCCCTGAGACTGCGAATGGCTGACCGTGAGGTCATGCACGTACATGGACGACGAACGAAAGGGCTGCGCTGCGCTGAGTATGCCCCACGCACCGTAAGGGCGAGGTCTAACTAGAACGCAGAGGATTGGATTAAACGCACGAATCCGAATGTTTTTATGGAGAGGTGCAGAAAAGAAGATCAATCGGCATTCTCTGCATTTCTACGTAAATCACGTCCTGATTCATGCGTTAAATTCAATCCTCCTTGCTAGTGCACCTCGCCCTAGTTCTACTGCTAAACGGGGCGCCGGTCCCGTGCTGCCGCAACCGCAGCCCCACACGTGTTCGTCCTCACACAACGCACCCTTGTTGCCATGACTGAACAATGGTGTCTTTCTGCTCCGATTCAGTCACGATGATAGTATGCCGTGTTCCAGGGAAGATGGGTACAAGATAGGCAACACAGCACGACCAACGGTAAGAAGCAAAAAAAGGCAAAAAAGATATGGATGATCGAATGGCCAACTACTGAATGGACTGTCATTTCCAGCGGCGCTCAGATGGTTAGGCACACAGGTGGCATTCAGGAGGTTGTGGGTTCGAACCCCATGCATGACTGCCTGCGGGACACTTAGTGTCAACGAACTTTGATAGTCCTCTTGATACCCCTGATTGGTATTAGTAGGGTCTATGACCAACAAGGGTGTGAGTGTAAGCTTGAGTGGGTTGTGTGGTGTGTGGGAGAGTGTTAGCCATAGCCATTGCTGCTACTCGAAGGGGGGTGGGGGAAGTAGATGGGAGGCACAGCTACTGGGAAAATGCTCGCCCATTAGGGCTGGGGGTCCTAAAGAAACGAGCCATGATTTTAGGAAATGTACGCGCCACTACAGGAGCGCCCAAATTCATCCGACTAGAAACGTTTCTACTTTATTTTTTTCCACGGCGGATAGCTGGGCCAAGTACTGGTGGTTTAATTATTAGAGGTACCTGTGCTTGCAGGTTTCCCCTGTATAGGCTTAGAAGTAATGGTAGGTAGATAGTGAAAGGTGAAATTGAGAGAAGAAATATAGCTTAGTTAAAAAATAAAATAAAAACAACCAGACGGATTGCTGATCAGCCCACTGATCCATTTTGTTTATTTTTCCTGTTTCTTCATTCTGACCACATTCAGTGTTCCCTCGCGATATTTTGAAACTAAAACGGGTTATAGATGAGACTATTTGGACTTCGTACGGTCAAGGGGATGCACGAGAGAGTTCAAAGTAGATTTGCAATTGTGGGTATAGCCCTATTAGTTCCAAAATAGCAAGAGGGATACCTATGGTTGCAGGGGTCCCCTGTGTAACCGTAGCAATGGTGGAACTAAGTACTCGGTAGGTAGGTAGTGCTTCCCCCCTTCGTCTATACGATCATTCCTCTTTTCTTGTGCTTGCTCGTGATAAGCAACCGGACTGATGCCCTCCAGAATAGAAGGGGCTTTTGTTGTTTAAGGGCAAAAAAAAAAAAAAAAAGTGAACATTACGCTAGGGGCCGGGGCCCAACCACGTTTTAATTTTGGTAGCAAAGACACTGCGTTGTTGGCGGTGTGCGCATCATATATCCAAAAACAAAAAGTAACCTTGTATGGAAGCAGCATGTCCAGAGTCTGCGGAATATTGTGGGAACCGCATTTTTCAACAAATGTTTTCAGCGCAAATAGTGTCGGATCAAAAGCTTAGAGATCCTTGCATGGCGCTGAAGCGTATGACCTTCAGGACATCTGTTAAATTTGGAACAAAAAAAAGAAGATAACAATGGCCCTTGTGTAAGCAAAACATACATTAAACCACCAGTACTTGGCCCAACTATCGACCGCAGAAAAACAATCGAGAAGAAATATTTTTTGTCGAATGAATTTAAGCGCTTTTGTAGAGGCCTGTACGTTTCCTAAACTCACGGCTTGTTTACAGGCACGACGTTAGGAAGTACAAGTGGTTTAACAAAGAAATTGTAGGGAAAAAAGAAAAAAAAATCAAGACCTTTGACCGCTAAAAGCGGCTTACGCCACAAAAGTCCAGCTATAAACAACCACAAACAAAAGACTTTTAACCTTGTCATGAATTGACATGCTAGTTTTCCCTATATGTATTCCTTTGTATTACAACGAACGTGTCCGCGCCCCTCTGTGTTCACGCAAATAATGGACCTAAGCTATATGTTTCTCTCTATCTATCTGGAATGGACCGGGTAGCTCAACCAGCTGGTTGCCGGGCCAACACTGAAAAAAAAAAAAAAATCAATTTTTTATTTATAACTCACGTTTAGCAACAAGTTTGAACATGAGTCCCGGACAGAAGTTGCTTGTATTGTTGTTTTACACTAAGTAGCAAATCCGCATATCTGGAAGATCAATGTTATTTGGAATTTTTAATCCGGATGAAATTTCCGAAATAATGTATGATATGGAAAATCCGGCGCTCAAAATACGTTTTTTAACCGATACAAAATCATTTTAAAAAAATCTTGAAAAAACATATGTTGTTCATATCAATGATTCAAACAACTTTTGCCTAGAGGCAATTTTTTATATCTCAGCAGATATGATGATAAAAATTAAAACATAATATTTAGCATCCCCCTTGAACCCCTTTATTCCCTATCTTACCCCTTTTCAACCCTTCCCTGCCCTATAAAGTTTTTTATGAAATAAGAACGTAGTTCTATTAGATTTTGTATATGCAATATTACTTTTTTTTTTTTTGCTTTCATGTTATTATTCGGATTTTCAGATGATCCCACCCCCTAGTAATCTGGATAGATAATACGGCCAGATTATCAGGCCAGGTAGCCTATGCCAACTAGGTTTTTACATGAGATATATTGTTTTTATATTTTCTGATTTTTTTTTTTTTTTTTTTTAAATATGCATTCTGAGGTTTTTGGATGCTCATTCGTATTCCGGTGAACATGTTCAAGTGCACCTCCGAACGTGAACATGATATCATGCAGATATCTTCCTTCAACGTTACTGAATGCACACGTACGGGACCTTTCTGTACGAAACGTACAGGTAATATTTGTATGGGAACCTGTACGCCCCCGTCGCCCTCGTACCACAAAAAAAAAAAAAAAAAAAAAAAGTGGTGCAGTATCACAAAACAAGCAATATTTGGTGGAGCACCATCTGCATATTCTTATTAGAATTTGAGAAAAAAAAATAAAACCCATTAAAAAAAAAGTCGTATGGGCCCTCGAGTACGAGTAGCGTACGAGAGATCAGTACGACTTGTACTCGTACGAGGGTGAGTACAATTCGCAACGTAGTCTCCTTTTTTTTTTTTTTTTTTTTKTTYTTTAGAAAAAAAAAACACACAAATATCTTATGACAAAAAAAAGTGCAATAACAATAGGAAATGATTGTCGATTCCAAAATTATTACAATAGAAAGAAACAATTTAATTGGTCTCACAGAGAAGGTGGAAGACAAGAGAAATGAGGTAATGGTCGGAAAAATAAATAAATAACGTGAAAAGGTGATACTTATGTACAAGGAGGATAATGATATAGAAATGGAAAAACTAGTCCAAATTTTTAAAGATTTTAGATTTTCTTCTAGCTCTAGGGGTCTTGGGAGTGGTTGGAGGTAGGTTAGCGGGATGACGGGAAGTAGGTGGTGAACGAGGCTGGAGAATGAGAAAGGAGTTGTTGTATAGAAGTTCTCTGCAAACAATGAGAATCAAGGGTAAAGATATAGTTTGACATACAGCCTGAACACCTCGTTTTGGAAGAGGAAACATTAGTTTGCTAGCTCGGCGCTATCTTGCTCAATCGAAGAGAATTCGAGGAAGCTGAAACTATCTGTACCATGATTTCTCGATTTAAAGATGAAAATCGGACAATGAGGTTGAGAACTTTGACAGGTTACCTAGAAAGCTAAGGTGTAGGTTAAAAATCTGGTGTTATGCCACAACCTTTTTTGTGAAAAGTTGAAATCAGTGCTCTAATTGAGTAGAGATAGGCTCGCTCAAATTGAGATGTTTAAATCCGTCTTCACAAGCTGCTCAAAAAAACTTTCTCGAAAACGATAACAAAAAGAAGACGAAATTAGAGATGAAGCCCAAGGGAAAAAAATTCTTAGGAAGATTAAGCAAGTCACTATTTACACAAAACTTTCCCGAAGACATTTTGACCAATGCTACACAAAAAGCAAATCAATAAAAAAAAATTCACAAATAATGAGCACGTTTTTCCTAAGATAAGTCGAATTGTCCCTTATCCGCTCTTCAGTAGTCAGGAACGACTAGCATATCAAGCCAACAAACATAAGAGAGTTAGGATGTTGGAGTAGAAAGAGTAAGAAAACAGCTTAAATGCTCACTCTTGCTTAAAAAAGTAGAAGGTTATGGCTCCATTACAGAAAATGCAAAAGCCGGTGTTAGCAATAAATTCCAATAAATTATTAATTACCGGTTTGAATCAGTATCTCTCCTCCAGGAAATTTTGCTTGCAGATTTGAAAAAGAGGAAGAATTTTTTAGGGGAAAAATGTATAAATGCAAAGGCAATAGTAAAGTCGTTGAAACATT